GGCCGAATGGGATGCAGCCCCTTATCCTCTGAAATTTGAAGTCCCGACGCTACAAACTTTTGACGGCACAGGATCACCGAACCAACATATCTATCACTTCAAGTCACAGACTGGGAATGCGATATCAAACGACGCCATACTTGCTCGATTGTTCATTGGCACCCTCAAAGGAGTTGCCTTTGAATGGTTCAGGAAACTGCCTGCTCGATGTATCCAAAAGTGGGCGGATCTAGAGAGACTCTTCCTGTCAAGATTCTTTGAAGAGGATACAAAAGTCTCCATCCATACCCTTCTCCTTCGTCAAGAGGTTCCGAACCATGGCTCTCCGGTGTTCGACAGGTATGACACAGTCTACCTTAGTAGAGACCTGTCGACACAACTTGCAGACCAACCTCCTAGCCCGAATCGGAGTTGCAGAATGCCGTTCCTGGAGACAACTAATCTCTCAAGGCGAACAGGCTCAAAAGATTATTGCCAGAATCAAAGCTGAAGAACAAAGTAGGCATGATCAACCTGAGCAACCGGACCAAGCTCAACCTTCACCTGAGCAATCAGACCAAGCCCAATCTTCTCAGTCAGAAGAAGATACCACGACTATTGAAGCTAATCCTCTTCAGTAGGATGGCAGGTGGTCCATAAATCTATCCCGTTAACAGTTCCCTCTGATAGTCCATCAATCTGCCAATCCACTTCAATAGGATGACAGGTCCATAAATCTATCACGTTAACAGTTACCTCTGATAGTCCATCAATCTGCTAATCCGCTTTAATAGGATGGCGGGTCTATCAAAACTATCACGTTAACCGTCACCTCTGATAGTCCTTTTCCTCCAAATTCCCCCACCAATCCTCTTCAAGTAGGATGGCGGGTCTACCAAAACTATCACGTTAACCGTCACATCTGATAGTCCTTTTCCTCCAAATTCCCCCACCAATCCTCCTCAATAGGATGGCGGGGCCATCAAAACTATCACGTTAACAGTTACCTCTGATAGTCTATCAATCTGCCAATCCTCTTAGTAGGATGGCGGGTCCATCAAAACTATCACGTTAACAGTTACCTCTGATAGTCTAGTTTCTCCAAATTCCTCCACAAATCCTCTTCAAGTAGGATGGTGGGTCCACCAAAACTATCACGTTAATGATCACCTCTGATAGTCCTTTTCCTCCAAATTCCCCCACCAATCCTCTTCAAGTAGGATGGCGGGTCCACCAAAACTATCACGTTAACCGTCACCTCTGATAGTCCTTTTCCTCCAAATTCCCCCACCAATCCCCTTCAAGTAGGATGGCGGGTCTACCAAAACTATCACGTTAACCACAATCAACCTATCAATCCTCTTCAATAGGATGATAGGTCCTCAAAATTGCTCAAATCGCAATCTTCCCCAGCAAGACACTAAGTCTTCAAAATCTTAGTATCAAAATTCATCGCTTCTGATAATAAACTCACGTAGCAATTCTCCCCAGCGAGACGCTAGTCCCCAAAATCTTGTTCAAATCACAAGTACACAAATACTGTCACGTTAACACTAAACCTCTGACAAAACCCACTTATCAATCCTCATCAATAGGATGATAAGTCCACAAAGTTGCTCCAATCGCAACACAAATCTTGTCACGTTAACTGACAAAACCCACTTATCAATCCTCGTCAATAGGATGATAAGTCCACAAAGTTGCTCCAATCGCAACACAAATCCTGTCACGTTAACACTAAACCTCTGATAAAATCCACTTATCAATCCTCGTCAATAGGATGATAAGTCCACAAAGTTGCTCCAATCGCAACACAAATCCTGTCACGTTAACACTAAACCTCTGATAAAATCCACTTACTTATCAATCCTCATCAATAGGATGATAAGTCCACAAAGTTGCTCCGATCGTAACAAATTCCCGTCATGTTAACATCATACCTCTGACAAACCCACTTATCAATCCTCTTTAATAGGATGATAAGTCCACAAAGTTGCTCCCATCGCAACACAAATCCTGTCACGTTAACACTAAACCTCTGACAAAACCCACTTATCAATCCTCATCAATAGGATGATAAGTCCACAAAGTTGCTCCAATCACAACATAAATCCTGTCATGTTAATATCACACCTCTAACAA